CACACACACACACACACACACACACACACACACACACACACACACACACACTTCGCCACTTTAAGTGGTTAGAGCGAATTTACGGAATTTCCACGTCTGTCCGAGATTCAGAGATCCTCCCATTCTCTGTCCTACTTCGATAATAACTGTTTATAGTAACCGGTGTCACCCCGAGGCCACAAATCTACACGCAACAAAGAGGGGGTAACGTTCTCTCGATAGAGCGCAGAAGCCAACAGCAACATAAAACCCTTGTCCGGACCTGTATTTCCCACGACCGCCGATCTCGCACACTTCTATCACAGCCCTGGCACCGGGGGCCCTCTTGGACTGGTCTCAAAACAAACATTTGCAACAACAATCAAACGTCAAATCTACCTGACCCGTAAGCACTGAGACACGGCGGACCCAGTCTTTCAAGCGAACGAAATTCCTGACATTTTCAGACGGCAAATGCATTGGTGAATGCAGAGGGACTCTTATCAAATGCAGTCTTTGCTGCTTCTTGGCGCCGCCTGATAGGTAGGGGAGATGAGAAGCTCGTTCCCAGGACATGGCAGGAATACGGAAACAACAGGTCGGTCGCTGACATGTTTCCCAGTCTTTGTTGCTACTTTCTTCTGAATATTTAAGTGCCCGGCTTGAGTTCTAACATTGTAGTTCATGGTCAGAGTAAATTAAATCTTTTATGTCTGCTTTCGACGAGCCAGATACAATACCGGGGCAAGAACAAAGGCCACATAGGCGGAAGTGTCGTTCCATATACCTTGGTTAAAATAACTTCAGTAACCATTGAAACACATGAGAGAATACATGCGAACATTTAATGCAAGAGAAAAAAAGACTAAATAAAAGAGAACTGAATAAAGGGAACATGAGGCTGAGTTTCTGTATCGACAATACATAAAAGGTAAAGACGAAAGACAGCGAGAGGGAGGAGAGAGGGAGGGGAAAGGGGAGAGGGAGGAAAAGAAAAGAGAGAGAGGGAGAGAGGGAGAGAGAGAGAGGGGGGGGGCATCTTACAGTCATGTTGCATGGCATACTGCTCGCGATGGGAACTTACGTAGTTAATGTTGTAGAACAGACGGCACGTCAAAAATAACTGTAAAATGATCCAGTACCTTACGTCACTTACAATAAATCGAAGGCAGCTTAAGAAATTCAGGTAGCTGCACAAAAAGCAGGGGACTCAGTGTCGCGATTTTAAAAAGTCACGACCACGTCCGTAGAATCGATAGCAGAGGGATTTGAATGTGAAGATCTAACAACAATGTATGACCTATCCCTTGGAAGAAAAAAAAAAGGGGGGAGAAAAATATTTACCAAGCGAGCGGCGAGCGATAGATGTAACACACATGCACACTGTCGCTGGGGGGGTCAACGCGGAAAAAAAGATATTATACAGCAAGAAAAGAGCGATAATGGGAAAGACTTGGCATGCATCACCATTGCCCACGGGTCATACTGAGGACAAGCCAGTGAGGAAAAGCGTAACAAAGAAACCGTAAATAATTCAAGGCAAAAAGCGAGCCATGAAGGACCAACTTGGGCCAACATTTTCATTAGGACAGAAACAAAAGAAATCAGTTCTGAACAGACACAGGTACTCCGGACAACAAACAATACGTATGACCAAACAAAAACAACCATTGTTTTGGTTTGGTCTCACTAATGAGGTAAAAAAAGAAAGAAATGAAGAAAGAGAAACACATAACATGAACATTATAAGCTGGATGTAACATTAAAAAAAACATTCTTCACTTACCTTTGACCGCGAGGTTGGACTGACTGGTCGTTCTGGTGCTGCCCTCAGGACTCACCTGCTGAAATGAGAAAAGATACGAATCAGGGAGGTCGTTATCATGATTACTACAATAGCGCTCCATAAATATCTCTGTACTTAATATCACCCCCCCC